AAAAAATATTCAAAAATAATAAATTTGTTTTCTATTTTTAAAAGTTTTTTGCCTTGATTTTTTTTTTTACATAGGAGTAAAAATCAAGATAATGTTAATAATCTAATACTTTTGTTAAAGTACCTGCTTTATCATATAATTAATTGTTCAATTATGAGGTGCTTTTTTTTTTGAGTAAAACTAGACACTTCATTAATAAATGACAAAACAAGCACAGAAGGTAAAAATTAAGAAAAATACCTAAAATCTTTCATCAGCAAAATGAATATGATTAGGTAATCTATGGACATGCAAGTAGGAGACACATTTTTAATTAAATGTCAACCTAATAAAACAATTAATTATTTTTAAATTAATATTATTTATCCCTATTTAATATAACATTTTAACTTAAAATAAATATAAAATAATTCATTTAATAAGAGATATTTTTTAAAAGAAGAACAAAAATCACATTTTAAAAATTTAAAAATATATTATATTTTTTAACATATACAAGGAACAATATAATTTATAATAAAAAAAAATTATAATATAGCTTCCCTCATCAATATTTAATGAGAAATATTGAGAAAAATATACAATAATAAAATTAATAACATGACTAATAAATAATGTTAAAGAATTTTTCTTTTCTTTATAATTGATCATTATTTACTATTGATCCTATGAAATTTATAACTCAATTTTTAAAACATTAAATTATGGATAATTTTGACAAACCCATCTTATATGCTATATACAACTTATAATTTTACATCATAAATTAAAAAAAATAGTAGTTGTAATAATTTTGCAATCCATCTTCTATTATTTATAATTAAGTTATTCAATATTTACATAATTTCAACTAAATTATTTAATATTTACAGTTAATTATGAAAATTTTATATAATATAGTTGGGCTATCACTCATTCAAAATGAAGTAACAAAATAAAGCATAAGAATATACAAAAAAATATTGCAAAAAAATGATATAAACTTACCTATTATCCTGTGTGATTTCAAGTTTCAACGCCTTTTTCAGTGTGCTTTTATGGCTTCCTTCTTCTTCACCTTCTCTTTCTTTTTTGTTCCCTTCTTTTTTTTTTTGTTTTTTTTTTCCTTACTTTTTTAACAGTAAACCAATACAAAGAACAACGACGATTGATTGATGGGCAGGTACCCTCTGGACAGGGATTTTTTTTTTTTTTTTGGGGTTGGAAGAACAAGAACAAGAAGATTAACAGCAGAAATTAAAATAATTGGATTTGGAGACAGATATCATCAGGAATTCAAGCAGAGAACCAAAAAAAAAAAAAAAAGTTCTTTCCAAAGAAGAACAATAACAACAGTGATTAATGGAGAGATCTAATCACTGAATTTTTTTTTTTTTCCCTTTTTCAAAGAAGAACAAGGATGGGTACAGCAACTATAGAGAAATCAAAGTAAATATGCAAGCAGAGCACACAGATCGTCTTTTTTTTTTCCCTAATTTTTTTTCTAAAACAACAACAACAACAATCAATGGGACTCTAGATAGATCAAAGAGAGAGGAATAATGCAAATACTAAGAAGCAGGGCAAACAAAGTGTCGAAGAACAAGAATATATAAGAAGGTCAATAAAGACTGTTGATAAATGAAGACAAACAGATCAGGGAGGATCCAAACAGAAACAAGATAGATCTCACTGAGTGTCAAAGAAAGAAGAAGATCAACAGAAACTATTGTAACTGAGTAGCGAACTCTAAGAAATTAACCACAAGGAACACAGAAATTGGTGAGAGAAAGGAGTTGTGGTGATTCGTGAATGGAGAGAGTGCACCGGCTTAGCTCAAAATACTTCTCATGAATTAAGGACCTCAACAGTGGCCAGTGGGAAAACAGCTCAACTTATTTATGTTGAGTCTGAAAATCATTCACCATGTCCAAATCATTCATTATGTCTGCGTCTGGAGGACCCGTCAATTCAGAGATGACGAGGGCCATGAAAACATAAAGGAAAAAGCATGGCAGACATTTATTGCCTCTTTGCCCCATTCAAGCAAAACCATCGACAATAATGCGGATGGTTTTCATTACCGCTCAGGAAATCGACTTCGTGCTTATGATCCTTATATTAATTCAACCTTTCCCAAGTTCATGAATCATGTAATGATAAAAATTATAATTTTTATCAACATCTTTATAATTATTTAAAAAATATTTAGTTAAAATTTAAGATTTATATACTGTAAATATGTATTTTATCTAAATAATTTACACTCTCTCCTTTTAAAAATATAAAATATTTTTAATCTTTTTAAAAATGTAATTATTATATTTTTTTTAAAAGTATCTTTATTAATAAATAATTTCTTATTTATTATAGGATGTTTAATAAAAATAAATATAAAAAAGTAAAATTAATTTAAAAATAAATAATTATTTTATTAAAAATAATATTTAATTAAAAATATTTTATATTTTTTAAACTGAGGGAGCGTTACATTTGTATTATACGTATGAGGGAGAAAGTGGGGCGAGAATTGTTTGCCCGGGTTGGGAGATTCCCTGTCACAAATCACAGAGAAAAAGAAGCAGCAGACGGACGGTGTTGGTGGAGAGAAAGTGACTGGTGTATCTATGAACATAGTAAATATTTCTTAGAGTACTTCATCTCAAATTGTAAAAAAAAAATTTAAATAAAAGTTTACATGTTAATAAATTTTATCAAGCATATCTAACAATCTTATATTTTTAAAATATAAATATAAATTTTTAAAAATACTCATTATTTAATATATTAAAAAAAGAATGAACAAAACTAAATTATATAGAAGTGAAGGGTGGTAATATTAAAATTAATACATTTAATGAAACATTAATCTATTTAAAGCATTTTATATTTTGGGATCGAGAAACTTCTTTAAAAATACCATATAATTTGAAATAGAGAGAGTATAATATTTCGATAACTAAAATTTTTTTCATAGTTTGATGATCAATTTGCAACGCTTATATTTTCAAACAATTATAAATGATCTGCTCATATTTAAAAGTTTAAAATTAAATTTTTTAAATTTTTTATTTTTTATCACATACTTTCTACTATTATATTTTAATCATCTTAATAAGAAGTTGGCAACTCAAACTAGAAAAAGATGTGTAAAAGCTTATGTGTCTTTCGATATAAGTTAGTAATAACAGAAAAATATAGATAACTGTTTTTAAGTTATTATTAGCCTATATTTGATGTCATATATTATAGGGAAAATCATTTTAAGGTTTCATGAAAACATTCAAAATACACTGAAGTCCCATAAATTTATCAAATAACTGCCTGATCCTAAAAGACTTAAGAGTGAATAAGTATGAAAATGAAATTATTGATTTATCCTCTACCATTAAAAAGGAATTTTGCTTGAACGCATATCTCACGAAATCCATAATTAGCGATACTGAAGATTGATACATATCCATGATTGTTGATCACGGTTGGATAATTTTCACTTCCTCATATCTATGATTACCGCCCTTGTCTTCATCTAAGCGAGGTGGGAGTGTTCATCCGTGACTGCAGTATTTCATTGACAAAAAACAATACAGTAATTGTTGAGCGAGTAAACGATTTCTCATGCGTTAATGATTTCATTATTGTTTAAAGATAGGATAATGTTTCTAGATATACTTGCAATCATTTAATTTGCATAGCTAATGGGTATGGATTTATCTAGTGCGACATTGATATGTTGAAAATATCTGATATGAACAACTCTACATGTTGTCAATAGTGTATTTTTGTGTTGTCAATATGCTATTGATAATTGTCGATATACTATATTGTACAGAATGACTTGTAAGAATGCTTATACCACCAAAAAACATGTATTCTATTATGTTTTTTTTTCATATAGATGACATTTTATATATTATTCTCAAGCATGTGATGCAAACTTCTTTTGTTGAAAAATCTCTGTTGTACCTCATAAGACTGACTTGTAGTGCAGGATGACCCCTATAGAAAGAAGATAGAATTTTTATGGTGGCTATTGAGTCATTGTAACAACAGGAAGGAGCATGAAGCCATGCCCTTGTTATAAAGATCCCAGGAAAGGAAGAAGAGGAAATAGAAGATTATTGATAGAACTTTAGGATATAACTTTATTGATAATCATGTCCTTTTATGTAGTTAACCTATTTTGTGTAGTTAACTTAGACAATGTTATTATGAATGGTGATTACAAGTTTGTAAATGTGGCAAATAGTTTGTTTTATTAATTAAATATTGACAAGTAGACAACTGTGATTGACAAGTGGTTTTCACGTTATTAATAAGCTATGCATTCACTATTGACTAGTATTGATACATTAGGTGCTATTATTTTCTTTAAAAATCAACAAACTACAAGAACCTGTTGATTACTTGCTGTTGATAATTGACAAGTGATTATCATTATATTGACAAGTGCTGATATATTAGATGCTGTTATTCCTTTTAAAAATCAACAAGTTACAAGAACCTATTGATTATTTGCTGTTGGCAATTGAGAAGTGGTTATCACTATATTGACAAGCTATGCATTCACCATTAACAAGTGTTGATACATTAGGTGCTGTTATTCCCTTTAAAAATCAACAAGTTACAAAAACCTGTTGGCAATTGAGAAGTGATTATAACTATATTGACAAACTATGCATTCACCATTAACAAGTGTTGATACATTTAAGTATTATTATTTCCTTTAAAAATCAACTAGTTATAAGAACCTGTTGACCACTTGCTATTGGCCATTAACTATAAGTTATCACTATATTGACAAGCTATGCATTTGCCATTGACAAGTGTTAATACATTAAGTGATGTTATTTCCTTTTAAAATCAACCAGTTACAAGAACCTGTTGACTACTTACTGTTGGTCATTGACTACAAGTTATCATTATATTGACAAGCTATGCATTTTTCATTGACAAGGGCTAATACATTAGATGTAATAATTTTCTTTAAAAATTAACCAGTTACAAGAACTGACTGGCCATTAACTACAAGTTATCACTTCATTGACAATCTATGCATTTTTCATTGACAAGTGCTGATACATTAGGTGCAATAAACAAAAAAATAAATTCCAAATACATAAACAAAAAAGTACACTTGATATTTTCTAACATGGATTAGGATTTTTGCAAGTCTTGGAGGTATGACCAATCTTATGGTATCTTGCACAACGATAAACCCTTTTATTTTGGATTTGAGATTCCCTTCTTTTACGCTTTGGCCTGCCCGAAGGCTTTATAATCATTGGTAGCTTCAAGTAGGTTTGGGTTAATAAATTTGTCACTGTCAATGCTTATGGACATGGATGGTCATGTGTGGCTACCGGCCTCATGTTGTTGGCATATATCTTCTTTTGAGCAGTAAACTTATAACATTCATCCACAAAATTGTAGACATTGTCATAAATTAGCTTGATTGCTACACATGCATGTACACAAGGTATTCTACTCATTTGTCATGCTAAACAAAAGCATGTATGTGCTACTCATTTGATGATATTATTCTTGTCAACTCTTCATATGTTGTCCATTCCTTTATTGTTTTTGTTCCAACACTCTCCCTAACATATTGCATACTTCCTTGGTCATAATTTTGAAAATGCCCTCTACATGAAAAAAAATATAATATATGTTCTCTAGAAGAACTTGCCATCTTACAAGTTAACCTATACTACACACAATATATTGACAACTACACACAGTATAATGTCAACACATTCATCCACTATTATAATATATGTTCTCTAGAAGAACTTGCCATCTTACAAGTTAACCTATACTACACACAATATATTGACAACTACACACAGTATAATGTCAACACATTCATCCACTATTGACAAGATATAGTGTTGTTTCATAATAGAGATTTTTTAACAAAAGAAGCTTACATTACATGCTTGAGAATAATATATAAAATGTCCCTTATATGAAAAAAAAAACATAATACATATTTTTCGGTGGTATAAGCATTCTTACAAGTTATCTTGCACAATACAATGTATCAACAACTATCGATAGCATATTGATAATACAAGAATACACTATTAACAATATGTAGAGTTGTTCGTATAAGATATTTTTCAACGTATCAATGTCGCAATAGATAAATCTATACCAATTAACTATACAAATCAAATGATCGCAGGCATACCTAGAAAGCATTATTCTATCTTTAAATAACAATGAAATCATTAACGCGTGAAAAATCGTTTACTCACTCAACAATCACTGTATTATTTTCTGTCGATGAAATACTACAGTCGCAGATGAACACTCGCACCTCACTTAGATAAAGACAAGGGCAGTAATCATAGATATGAGGAAGTGAAAATTACCCTATCGTGATCAACAATCATGGATATGCATCAATCTTCAGTATTGCTAATCATGGGTGTTGTGATATTTGTGTTCCAGCAAAATTTCCTTTTTAATGGTAGAGGACAAATCAATAATTTTATTTTCAGACTTATTCACTCTTAAGTCTCTTGAGATCTGACAGCTATTTGATGAATTTATAAAACTTCAGCGTATTTTGACTTCCATGGGACTTGAGAATGATTTTCCCTATATTATATGTATTTTCTCAATGTAGTATGATAACTCTTGCTAATAAGATAACTAAAAAATATTAGTAGGGAAGTCTATGATAAAAAAATAAAATAAAAAATTAAGAAAGTTAATTTTAAATTTTTAAATGTAAAAGAAGTTTTGTGAAATTGTTTTAAAATTCAAAAAAAATTATATATTTTCGTGAATTTAATCAAAAAAAATTATATATTTTCGTGAATTTAATAGGGAACATTAGAAAAATAAAAGATTATAAAACTCTTGCCTTCTCCTCTATCTTCAATTATTTTCCTTTCCTTTTGTTTTTATCTTTGTTGTGCTGCACTTCACTTTTCATCCTTAATTATTCTTTATTTCTCTATAGCATCACATTGAAATCATAGCAATGACATCCAAATCTTTATCTTTATACAAGCAAAGCTTAATGGATTCAATGACATCTAAATATTTATCTTTATACAAGTAAAGCTTAATGGGATTCACTGTTTATCAACGGTGTTTTTGAATTGTAACCCTCCATCAAAGTTTTTTCCTTTCTATATTTAGTTTTTTTGTAATATATAATATAAAAAAATATTATACGTGTATATATATATATATATATATATTCACTACACAAAAAAATTATATAGAGTTGAAATTAAGTAATAAAAGTATAATGTACAGACACTAATTTTTTATTTGCAGTATTTGACTTAAAAAAGAAAAAATAAAGAAAAGTAAATCTTTATCACCATTAATCTGTCTCATATGATAATTAATATGAGAGAGATCTATATCAAGATTATTGATGAATTACTGTGATGAGTCTGGGTGTGATTGATTGAGCATTCTGGAATTATTGATGAAGAATTGTCTGTTCTTTTTATATTTGTCTCGTTGTTCTTTCACTGACTGTCTGTTCTTTTTATATTTGTCTCGTTGTTCTTTCACTGACTGCATATTGTTGATGGGTTACTATAGCTTGGGTGGGGGCGGCACCAGCTTGCAATTAGTGTTCTCATCATCTTATCTCCTCTCTAGTTTTTTCGTCTGAGGCAAATTGACTTTCATACTATAAAAAAAAAATTATTTCCCACGATACGACACTTTAATAGTATTTATTTAGATACTATAAATTTAAAAGTTAGCTTGATTAGCATCGAGTTTCAAATTTTTTTTTGTCAAAACGTACATAAAACTTTGCTTCTATCAAGCTAAGTTCTATTTAATATAAAAAAACATCTGTCCCATCATCTCTCTCTTCAACCAATGTTTTTTTGTTAGATATATCAAGCCAAATTCTATTTAATTTAAAAAAAATTAAATACATATCTCTTCTCTTCTCTTTTCAGCCAAGTTCAAATCAATTATAGGCAAAATTTAAATTATACAATTATTATTCCAATATCATTAACTCCATTAAAGGCTAAATAATCAATTAAAGTTCCTAATCAATTGAAATTAAAATGTTAATGTCTAATACAACATTAGACGCTTGGATTAATCAAACAAATCACCATAAAACTCTAAAATCATTAAATGAGATGTTCTGAGTGATACAAAGTCATCATAAGTAATAATAAAATTACTAACGTATTTTAAGTTATACCATGAATGATACTAAATTACCATGGATCTCTAAAATTATCAATCAGGATATTATGAATGACACAAAGTTATTATAACATCTCTATTTTTACTCTTCAAATCTAAATAAAAAATTTATAATCATATAAATATCAAAGAAATTGTGTTTATTAAAATACACTAGTAGAGTTTAATTTTTAAGATGTTAAGAAAGTACTATAAAAATCACATAATATGTGTGTGGGGGTAGAGTTTACAGATTATTAATTTTTGAAAAGAAAAGGAAGAAGATTTAAAAAAAAAACAAAGAAGAAAGAGAGAATGGATATCGAAATGTGAAGCCAACTAACTTATTTTATTATTTTCAATCTCATTTCTTATTTTGCATGCATCACTTCCTCTTTCTTTCTTTTTGTCTTCCTCTCACTCAGTGCACGGTGAGAAATTAAGACAGAGAGTAAGCAAAATTTTAAAAATGGGATTCCATAATAGATACCTTGAGTATGATCTCAAACATTTTCAGACTATATAAATGTTAAATATTTTTCTTAATCACATATTTTCTTTAGTTTTTAATTTCTTGATGATAAAAAATTTAAGATTTGATATAATTTGAGTTTTTAAAATTTCAATTGATTATTTAATTTATAATGGAGTTAATAATGTTAAAATAATAATTATATAATTTAAATTTTATTTAAATAATTGATTAGAATTTGGCTGAAGAAAAACCCCTTAAATTCCTTCTATGAAAATGGGAGGGAGGGGGGGGGAGAGAGAGAGAGAGAGAGAGAGCAGTAGGAAGAGGACCCCTCAGCTTAAACCAGACACTGACACAGAGAGAAAGAAAGCCATTAAAAGAAGAGAAAGCATACAACACAATATAAAGGGTTTTTAAAATCCGATCCAAATTAATTGCACTAAATCACGTCCAACCAAGCCAAACATAAATAGATTATAAATAAAATTTGGTTTATTTTTTTTATAAAATTAATTAAATTGGTTTGATTCAAGTTTTTCTCTCTTAAAATTTAAAATAAATCAAAAAAATTATTATATTTATTATATAAATATTTTTAAATTTATTTAAGTTTTTTTTAAATTTAGTTATTTATAAATTACTGATAAGAAAAATCTGTTATAATGAACTATTAAAATTGTTTCAGCTAAAGGTATTGATATAATTGAATGCTTAAATATGCTAATTAATTGTTCAAAATATTAATTCTTTAATCCTAATTGATTTTTTTGTAAAAATAATAATTAATAGTCAAAAATTATCAGTCAATATATATATTGATTAATTAAAAATATCTTACAAAAATTTAAACTTGATTCAAATGTCAATTAAATCGAATTAAATTGATTAGAAAAAACTTAGAATATGTTTCTAACTTTGGTGAGTTGATAAGATTGATTTGGTTTTGTTTTTTGTTGTTTTTAAATCAAATCAAACTGAATTTGTTGACATCTTTAAAAGCAATATCTATTTTATTGGCTCTTTCTTCTTTATATATCTTCCATTCTTTTCCGCCAACCATCAAACCATTAACAATAATGTGGAATGCTTTGATATTTTTTATAGTAATTTTTAAATTATTGTATAGTAAATAAAAATAAAAAATTATAAAAATTTTATAATAAATAAAAAATTATAAAGGTTTTATAATAAGGTAGGTATGGGACATACAATAAAAAAATGAGTGATAAATGTGGAACCATACTAAAAAATATTCTCTTCATGTCACAATATAGAACATTTTTAAAATCTTATTTAATATAAAATTTATGGGCATTAGGGTTAAGGGTCATTTTTTCATCAACAAATTTACAAACAATGAATATGAAAGTTAATAATTTTATTAACAAATTTAAACCTCAAATTAACTGATTAATTAAAATTATCTTATATTTAAACTTATTTTCAAATAAAATCCTAAATTCTCACCGTTAAATAATATATATTATTCAAAATAAGATAAAATTAGATTTATAAAATATAAAAAAGTATGTGATACTAATCGTATAAAAAATATTTCAAAAAAAAGTCAGAAACTTCATTTTACAAAATTATGGGTCATTTGTCGTGGCCAATTGTCAAACCCCTAAAACAGAGAGTGACCGACATAAAATGTGAATTGTATTATACATCCCTTAAGCCTCTAAGTAAAATTTCACTTTTCAAAAACATAATTATATTTTTATTGAAATTATGATATCTTTAACAATGATTGTTTTAATATTTATAAAAATTTCGGCAGAACCTTCTTTATAAATAAAATTTTTCGAAATCTCTATAACAGAAATTATTATAGTATGCGTTCAATAGGTTGAAACTATATTTCCCAGATATAAACAGTCAACATAATAGAACAAAAATCAAGATCCTAACTATAGTTAACGTAGAGCTCCTAAAGCACAAAATTTTTTTTTATATAACATCTAATTGAATATTTACCTTAAAAGAGAAGGGATTTACAAAAATAAATATTTATCTAGCATAGTTGCAGGCCCTTAAAGGTCGGCAAGAGATCCAGCGTCAATTAATAAATCTGAGACCAAAATAATTTCCAGTGAACAGCATCCCCAAAAATAAAATTTAACAGAGTAAAATTAGTAAAATAATAAACTTACTATTATGTAAAATCATTGAAAGGAAATTAATTCAGATTAATAACTCACAATATCTAGAAATATCAATTATAATAATAAAACATGAATGCGTAAAAATTTCTCAAATCTGATATGTTAAAGGAGGATAATTTACTCATAATTGAGTAAAAATAGCAAACTTACTGCAAACATTAAAATTCAATTATACTAGCTAAAAACAATCAATATAATATAATCATGAATTTGAAGATTAAGAAGTTCTATATAACTTCAAAGTACTAAATCACCAAATTAATAATAACAAAATAGTTCAACTCTTTGTGCTGGTAAAGAAAATTAAATAAATAAATAAATAAAAGAACCCTTTATTAAATAAAACCAATGAAGCATTTATTCATAAATCAATTAAAAGCTAACATTTTTAAGGACTTTTGCAGAACAAGTATCAAACGTGGATACACAGTCCACGAGGGTAAAATAACCAAACGCAGCTTATGCCACGAAAACAAACGTGGACACACCAGTCCATGAGGATACGTAACCAAACGCGGCTCAAGGCCACGAAACAAACGCGAGTGCGAGGCTCGCGAATAACAAACGTGAGAATATAGCTCACGAAAACCAAACTAGCTAGTCATTAACCAAGGCGTGCCAAGGGCTAACGGAGCTGCCGCTAGCAACCAGTGTTCTGTATAAAGTCCCCTTCAAATTCATTTTCAAACATGCGAGAAAATAATCACTTTTCAAAATATAAAATCCTCTTTTCAGTACCAAACTCGCATGAATCAATTCAAAATAATCAATCTTTTCAGCGTAAAAATTCATAACTAACATCTCAAACTTTTTCACCAATTTTCATGATTATCTTTATTGAATAAAGGAACATTAAAATTTGTAAAAATCATTTTCATCAATCTTTTAAGTATATCTCTTAAGAAAAGTACTAACACAAATCATAATTTAATTAACAAGATAACTAATATTCATCATAATTGTTAATAAAAATAATATGCATAAAAAAATGTAATAATTTCAATGAAAGACTTTTATTGACAAGTTGACTAGGATACTATTCACTTACTTGTTAAATTCCAAACCCAATGATTTCCTTCCTCAATTCTTATCAAGAGACTCATGTTCCACATACCCTATATAAATAAATGAAACCTCAGTTTGCTTCCTATAGTTATATAAACTTTATTCCATTACCAACACAATCCCAACCACTTAGAAGTATTCAAAATTTCAAAAAGAACCAAAATTTATATCTTAATGGTCTCCAAACATCATCACTTACCACCAAGTTACCTCATATCATACCAATCATAACTTCTATTTAAATGAGATATAATTTTTCTTATACCTTGTGTCAAACACCTTGGGTGTAAAATTCCCAAACACCTACAATTAAATTTATCATACTTATTTTGCTCATTTCTCAAATATCTTAAAATGTATTCTCAAGATCGAATGATAAACACCCTTTTTCGTATGAATTTATAAAATACTCAACATAAATCTCCTAAAAGTTCAGCTAACCACACTATAACTCAAGAATCAAACTTCTTACAATGCTCAAGTTAAAACTCATATAAATAAAAATTTGAATCGGTCATGCCGCTCATCCTACTAAATAGAATTTCAGAAAAGTCTAAATCTAGCAAAACTCTTCAAACAAACATCTTACGAACACTTATAAGCACCAATCTCAATCTCATGCCTAAACCCTTCCCTTCCAACTTCATCCCACCAAATCCTCAAAATCAATCAATCCAAACAAAATTACTTTATCATAAAATTCAGACCCACATACCATCATGACCCTATAAGATATTTTTCGAACTCAACTTTTCATTTTCATTTTCATTTCTTTTTTCTACACAGCACGGACGAAGGCAGAACCAAAAGAAAAATTTGAAATTTCATCTCTATCACTTCACCCAGTCACACGCACAGAATTTATCCAAGGAAAAGAAAAGAAATCAAAGCTCCTCACCTCATATAAACCCAAACGCACGAACAGGGAAAGGAAGAAAAACCGAGCCTGTACAGAGGAGGAAAGGAGATCGTCGTTGAGTGCAGAGAAGAGATGAACAGATCGGTGACTGATAAAACAAACAAAAGAAAGCAAACCATCTTACACTCATCCATACAGTCACCGACAGCGCAGAAGAACGAGCTTCGGCGAGCTGGAACAGAGGAGAAGAAAGGAACAGAAGCCACGAGTTGCTGGATCAATACCGGACGGAACAGCGACAAACATACACACGCCGGCGAAGTTGTAATCGGAAGGATGAAGGAGAAGATGAAGCAGAAGAACCGAGCATTAGAGCTTCTCTCTCTCTCTCTCTCTCTCAGTCGCGAGTCTGGAAAAATTGGAGGAGCAGAGGAGAATATATCAGATTTGGGAGAGGGGCAAATTGGTAATTTCGCAGAGGAAAGGGCAAAAATAATCCTCCTTCTAGCTTATTCGAACTTGGGACCCATCAGGAAAATACTTGCACAGCCATCACTACACCAGCTTTCCTTCTCGACATATTTGTTCCAATAATTACTATATTTATAATCAATACACATTATTACATATTTTAATTTTAAATATTTTTTTATTTTTTTTAAGGTTATTACACCAATGATGCATTCACTATAGCAAACCACGTTGAAGCTATTTTGATCTACATAATAATCAACGTTCTATACGTAAATGATGGAGTAATTTGCTCAAAATTTTAAAGTTCAACGTTTAGGATGCTACTTGCGTAACGGTTTAGAGTCTGTGGTGCTCATTAACAAATGACACATCAATAAAAAATTGTCATGTCAGCATTTGACTAGCTCCCATGGTGAACAGTATGGTGTTAAGAATGAGTTAACAATAGGGGGTAACTTGTTATAAATTTAAAAATTTATAATTTATTTTACATATTTTAAAAATTTAAGATCTAGGGTGCTTTTTGCATGATACTTCAAGATTTAAAATACTCATTAATCCATTATTATTTACAACTCAATCTCTTAATGTATAATTTAATTTTTCATGTTTATGAGTCAATCTATTATATTTACAAATATTCTACAAAAATTTACAAAATAAATTTTGAAATTTACAACTTTACAAAGATAAAGGACACTTGTAAAATCTAGAAGGTTAAATTATAAATTTAGAGAGTTGACATAGAAAATAGTTAACATCATTGATCTTTAGCATAATAAATCAAAATTTACTAATTTAGAGGGAGAATATTTCATCTGAAACAAATATTTTCTTTCAGGCCGGCAAATATAAAATAGTCTACCCTTATTTTCTCTAATTAGAGTAAATTATTACGTGTTTTATGTAATTAAATAAAGTCACTTACAAAAATGGTGGGGCTCACACGAAGAATGAACGAACGGAAGAAAATAATGCCATGGAGGCATGGGCAAGGGGGGAGAGAGATTATCAACAAATATCCGTTCGCGGTTGTTCAAGAAAAAACCATTTCTATACGGACAATATATTTCTTTTTCTATGCCTGAATCACAACATGAAATGTCTAAAATATAGTTCTTTTTTCTTAGAAACGTCCTTCAATTGAAATTTATATTGTTTTAGTTTTTTTTAGAATATTCTTACAAGTAGTAATCGTGAGACTAATCACACAAAAAATGAAGATATCATTTAAAAGATTGTTATTTTCTAAATGATACTCTCATTTTCACATATAGAGAAAATAGGATGTTTGATTATAAAAAAACGATAAAATAGGATGTTTGAAATTTAATGAATTTAATTAAGAATAATATAAAAAAAGTTGGTGACTTTTGAAAAATTCGTTGGCAAAAAAAAAAAGAAAAAAGACTTTTGAAACATTCAAGTGACGTATGAAAGTGGAAAATAATTATTCCATGCTCTTTATTTGTTACAAGTCGTCCAGAAAATTTTCAAGTAAATATTATGATATTCACAACCAAGTTTTCAAGTTTTACCTTCTAAAGGCCATCGCTGTAATTGTCCTGAAAAATAAAATTGTGGCTCATCGTTTTTAAAGGTTTGTTTGATTTAAGGGAAGGAAAAGTTCCTTTCCCCCTCTCCCTTTATCTATTTTTTTTTTTTAAACCAAACAGATTTTAAGAGACAAAAACAGAAAGACATGAGCATGAAAAGAAGAGGAATAACAACTCCTTTATAACTTCTTGCTCTTTCTTCTTTTCCGCATACGACAAAAACATTAACATTAATGTGACTTCATGTCTATCCTTATCAATCCAACGTCTGTCAATTCATGTGCGTTTGTTTTCAATTTAGCATATTTGTTAAAAATTTATTTAATATAAATCAGTTAAAATAAAATTTATATTTAAATATATTTTTTAAAAAAATTAATTTAATAAATTAGAAATTTAAAAATTGTTTAAATTAATAATAATATGTGCTTTTAAAACATGCTTTTAAATATATAATAATTAAAAAAAATGTTAATTTATAATAATTTATAATTTTTAATATATAATATAATATATTAGAAACGGTTAAAAATAAAATAAATTAAAATAACATATTCCTTCCATTAAAAATATAAGCCCTTTTTACTCAAATCTCATTCTCTAATAAAATAGTTACTTTTTTAACCTAATCAATCTTTTTATTTTTTATTCCTATTAAATATTCTAAATAAATATAAAATAATTATTAATAAAGGTATTTTGAAAAAAAATAATAATTCTATTTTGAAAAATTAAAAATGGTTCACATTTTTAAATATCTAACGTCTTAAAAAATATTTTATATTTTTTTACAAAAAAAGTAAAATTTAATATATTAAATTGTAAAAATAAAAAAAATGAAATTTAATATGTTAGAAAAATTATATAATAAAAATTTAACATTCATTACTCGACGACAAGGAGAGGGAGACAGGAGAAGTTCAATCAGAGGAATGATAGATGACGTTGAGAGGTGCAGAGACTAGAGACGAAGGGAATCCGAGGACTATGAAGTGAAATAAAGAAGAGAAATCATTCAATACAATGTAAAGGGCATTTAAAATCCGGTCCAAATTAATTGCACTAAATCATGTCCAACTAAACCAAACATAAATAGATTATAAATAAAATTTGGTTTTTTTTTAATAAAATTAATTAAGTTGGTTTGATTTAGGTTTTTCTCTCTTAAAATTTAAATTAAATAATTTTTTATTATATTTATTATATAAATATTTTTAAATTTTTTAAAGTTTTTTATTTTTTAAAAATTTAGTTATTTATAATTTACTGATAAAAAGAATTGTTACAATGAACTAGTAAAATTGTTTTTAGCTAAAGGTATTGGTATAATTGAATAATTAAATATGATAATTAATTGTTCAAAATATTTATTCTTTAATTCTAATTGATTTGCTTTTGTAAAAATAATAATTAATAGTTAAAAATTATCAATGAATATATATATTAATTAATAAAAAATATCTTACAAAAAATTTAAACTTGATTCAAATGTCAATTAAATCGAATTAAATCGATTAAAAAAATTGTATATATTTCAAACTTTAGTGAATTGATAAGATTGATTTGGTTTTGTTTTTTGTTTTTAATCAAATCCAACTGAACTCGTGAACATCTTTAAAATCAATACCTATTTCTTGGCTCTTTCTTCTTTATATATCTTCCATTCTTTTCCGCCTACCATGAACCATTAACAATAATGTGGAATGCTTTTGATATTTTTTGTAGTAATTTTAAATTATTATATAGTAAATAAAAAAAATTATAAAAGCTTTATAATAAGGTGGGTATGGGACATAAAATAAAAAATGAGTGATAAATATGGAACCAATACCAAAAAATATTATCTCCATATCACAATATAGTAAAATATGAAATATCTTTTAAAGCTTTACTTGATATAAAATTTACGGCATTAAGTAATGGGTTAAGGATCATTTTTTCATCAACAAATGTATTATCCATTTTATCAACAATGTTTGAAGTCATAACCCTCCATCAAGTTTTTTTTAGTGAGAATCACATTCAACCCTCTCCTAAAAAAAATTAATTATAGATAATGATTACTAACAAGTCCTATTAAAAAGAAGAAGAAGAAGTCATGTTTTCATTTTAACAATAATTCATTCTGCATTAATCCTTATCAATAATTAATTTCCTTGAGAAGGGGCTGGATGTAATTTTTTCTTTTTTTTATATTTCTATATTTAGTTTTTTTTTGTAATATAATAGACAAATATCATATATTATATATATATATATATATTCACACAAACAAATTATATAAAAAGTTGAAATTCAGTAATAAAAGTATAATGTACAGAGATAATTTTAATTTGTACTATTTGACTTAAAAAAAAAAAGAAAATTGAATCATTATCACCATTAATCAATTTCATATGATAACTAATAGGAGAGAGATCTATAGCTAAGTTATTGATGAATTATTGTGATGAGTCTGGGTGTGATTGATTGAACATTCAGCAATTATTGATGAAAAATTGTCTGTTCTTTTCTATTTGTCTCTTTATTCTTTCACTGACTACATGTGGTTGATGTGTTGAGTTATTATGCTTGGGCGGTGGGACTGGGTGGCACTTGACATTGTTAGTGGTCTTATCATTTTATCTCTCCCCCCAATCGCCTTTTCATTTTATTTATAAATCACATTTCAAAAATTTTATTTAATTTTATTTAATTTTATTTATAATTATGATGTAATTTTTTAAATAATACTTAAAAATATTTTTTTAAAATTATTATTTAAGAAAGAGAAAAGTAATATGACTTTATTTTTTAAAATTTATTATGCATGAGCATATTTAAATTTTATGCTCTTTTATTCTTTATATTTTTTATCTTAATATTGATAAAATTAATAAAAATAATTTATAAAAAAAATTGAATGGGTAACTTTTTTTTTTAATTTATGAGACTAAAGAGAACATTTAGTTATTTTTTTAAAATAAATTTATTCAGATATCTAGTAAAATAATGTACAAGATAATACCATGCATCACTGCACATGAAGCCTTTTGAAGAACTTTATACTACTAGCTGTCGATAAGTTCTCAGTCTTATCCAAAAGCTTTTTGCTTTTCAAGAGCATTCACGTGAACCATTTCTTGCTTGGTTTAATTCAAGTTAGATTTTAAAGGGTAAATTTTAAGAATTTATAATTTAATTTTATTATAATAAATTTATAATTTATAATTTAAATTTTAAAAAATAATTTTTCTTATTTTTTAACAAAATTAAAATTTAAAAAATAAGTTATAATTCATCACAATGCAGTTATAAAATAGAAAGATTGAGTTGTAAATTTTTAAAATTAACACTTGACATCTAACTTGAATTAATTGATTATTTTGTGACATCTAACTTGAATTAATTGATTTTTTGTGACATTTTTATCATTCTCCAAATAAATTTCATCCTAGGACCATAACATATTTTTTTTAATTACACCCAAATATTT